TATCTCTGGGGAAGGGCATTACGGGATGATGCCAATTGTGTTGCCAATATGCTGTTGGGAAGGATAATTTACAGTGACCTTCTAAGGAGCTTTTCTGTAGCTATCTAATTTTTTTGGATGGAAATTCACTGCTCTAGACATCCAGGAATGGATTATTTGAATGAGTCAGTGGTAATCTGTATTAAAGGTAGAAGCTGTACAGTGCAGAACAATGAAGTCCTCACAAAATGCACAGGGAGAACATAACTCGTTTGTGCTCACAGCAAACATACAGTGCAAACACCACTTCTCCCTCTCTAGATATGTTTGTGTTCTGGTGATGTTGGAGAGGAGCGTCTATATTAAACATCTGGTCTGGTTTCGAGTACTTTGTTCAGCATCGGCATGTGATTGAGTTCTCAAGTCATCCAGAAAAGCAGCTGAGGTTGAGAGACAAGATAAGAGTCAGCTGCTTTTCTAGAATTCTATCTATTCTATTTGGACAGGTAGGAAGGTGCCTTTCCATTCAGCAGTCCTCATGAAAGATGAGGGTTTGGTGACAGCACATCACTTGGACAGAACATGAAGGATTGCAGATAAACTAGGATTTTAGGTTACAAGGATTATCAAATACTGCAGTGCTGCAGGCTGAGATTTATCAGCTACACAGCTCTGGTTCCTATTTGCCTTTGCTGAAATCCTTTTGAAGGGTGACAGTGTTCATGAACATTAAAACTGTAAGCAGGCAAAGTACAGAAGTCAGGATTTCTTATTACAGGAGAAATTGAACAAAAAAATGGAAACCATGTCATGGTGGATAAGGAGTCAGGCTTCACTCTTAGCAAAAACTGGTATCCAGCCTAGTTTAAATTAGATGTTACTTTTTTTTTAAATTTATTTTTAAACTTGATCCTGGATTTCCTTCTGTCACTTCATACCCTTTTATGGTCAGTAGCACTGTATCCATGCATATTTATTAGATTTAGATATATTTTGCAAGTCACCTTCACAACTTCTTTTGTTTTCCTGGAAAAACTGGTTGGTTACACAGAGACTGAATTTGCAAGTCTAATCTTTGGCATTTGTTAACCCTTATTATTCTGGTTGCTCAATGGACAGATAAGCTTTCAGGTTCATTTGCAGTTTCATTTCCTTTTATACACTAAACACAGTCCATGCTTCTGTTTAGATTTCTCAGTCTAGATTCCTTCACACATGAAAATAACCCACATATTCAGCATCCTGGGAGAGGAAGAGTGGTCCTGTTTGAGAGAGAACAGTGGTCCTGCTGTTTGAGAGAGAGCACAAATTAATTATTAGTACTTCTTTCTTTCAGGGAGCCACAAGCGTGAGAAGAGGAGCAGGTTCCTATATCTGCAAATATTTTCTTTGCCTTAAGTTCACAGTGAAGCTAGCGTAGAAAAAGCAGATATTATTTTTCCTCCCCACACTAACATACATCTCTGAAGGTGAGCTAGAAACAACTCTGTCTATTTGCTTGTGGTATTTCCAGACCTGCTGACAGCCTAGAAAGCGCAACCACTGAAACAAACACAGTTGCTTATTGAGGCAGAGGTTGGTGCACCGGGAGACAAGTTGTTGGAATAAACACAGCTGTGTTTTTTCCATTACAGTGTTCTCATTTACTGGGTCAGCCAGCCACGTACCTTGTCTGCGCAAAGGTACAGGGTAAATTAAATACATGTCCTTGGGGAATCGCTAGGACTGTAGGATCTACTCTTGAACTTCATCTTGGATAGAGCTCTCCAATGTTTAAATCAAATAAAGCTGCGGTTATACCTGTTACAGGGAATGGTTAGAGCTTATTAATAGTGAGGAAAACAACCTGCCATGGAATACACAGTCAACCTTTGTAATCAGTTGTGCTTTCGAACATCTAATCGCTTCCAACTCTGCCATGACAGTCTCCAAGCTGTCCTCCCCAAGTTAAGGTTTCAGATAAACCCCTGTGAAGAAGATTCTTCCCTTTGAGGAAAAGAAACTTTCTATCTGCATGGCTGTAATTGAGAAGCTCCTGAACAGATTTTTTTTTGTTGGCGTTCCCATGTAAACGTCAACTCTGGGCCAACCCACAGCCACAAAATGCTACAGTTCAGGGTTTCAGAGGGAACAGTGGTCTTGTTTCCAGGAGAATAGCCTGCAACATAGACTGCCCACAGGCAGCGAGGCCCAAGGGACTGGGCAGCTCCAGGAAGCAGCTCGTGTTCCAGCACTGGAGCAATTCCCAGTGCTGCTCATCTTCACTGCTGGGCTTAGGTTGGCTGATGGGCATCTCTGATCCTGATTTTCACTTCAAAAAGAAGTCATCATTGGAATGATTTTGAAAAGCAGGATTTTCTGGACAATCATAGAGTTTATACTGGGCCAGCAGAAATATCTGCATCACATTAGTACCGCTGGATTCCCATGGGTGTGGAGCTCCCACTAGGCTCCCAGGCCATAAGCAAACCCTTGTGGCTTTAGCACACAGGCAGATCCACTTGTCACGCACCAACAGCACAATAAAGGGACTTGTTCAAGCCACAAGACAGAAGGCTCAGCAGAAAGGTAGCCTTGAGTTATCTGGATGTAAAAGAGAGAATTCAGCACCTGTGGCGATAAAGTCAAGCCCCGTTATCAGCTTGGACCAGTGCCACCAGCAGAGACACTCTGCCATTTCCAATGTGCCACTGGACCTGACCTGGGGGTACAATGCTGGGATTATCATCACAACAGGCTTGGGAAGCAGGGCTCCCTTCCTGAAATTCACTGTAGTCTTTGCAATAAAACTAATCTGATTGTATCCTCCAATTCCCCTTTCTGCAGCACTGCCTGGGAGGGACACACACGATATGATCAAATTCTCTTCTCTGGCATTTCATGTACTAACGAGCATTGTCCTGCCAGCACTTCCCAGGGTGAGTTGGCTTCCCTAGTTCCCAGGTAACCTTTTTCTTTTTTTTTTCTTTTTTCTTCCCCCCCCTGAGTTTTTCAATTAAGCAGAAAGTAATTCCACTTCTGTGAACTGCTGGCCACTTTCTGCTCCTACATACTGACTAAAATGCAGAATTAATCACTTGCCCGCCAGCGCTGGGTGGAACCCCCAATCTCTTCCTACCCACAGTGCAAATTTTCATCTAG